GGGGGCAGGCAAAAAAAAAAAAAAAAAGCCACTTTGCCTTGATAACACTGATATTTCCCTTGCTCCCCACCAGGGTTACCCCACTTCTGCCTGCTGACACTGCTTCTGCAGACACCCTCATCTCCCCAGTACCCCTTCTCCTCCCACAGGTATCTGTTCCCATTCACTTTTCACCCATAGTGCAAGGCCAGTTCAGGGACAGCAGAGGTACTCGTTAGGATGGCAGCTTAAGTGACACGTGTGCTTCTGGCATCCGAGTTGAGACATTAGGTTCATGTTTTCCCCACTGGGATATGGTTAGAAATAGCATTTGACTTTTTCAGAGCTGGAGACTACATCCGGGACCTTGTGCATGCCTGGCAAGTGCAAATTCTGGGCTACACTCCCACCCCCCAAGGCAGTTACCTTAGATAGTAACTGCAGGCTTGACTTTATGGAATCCCACTGTGAATGTTTCACTTCTGAGCAAATGTAATTAATATGTGTGAATTATTCTTGATATTTCAAGGTTTGCCTCTTTAAGCCCTCAAACTTTTTTCTTGTCTTTTCTCCCTTTTGTAAAAGATTATATTAAACATCATTTTGCCTTTTTTGGGGGACAAGTTTGTATAGTGTACAGACTGTATTTGTACTTAACTGATTATGGGTTTTCAATTTCCAATTTTGGATAGTGTTCTTCATAAGTAAGATAAATATCAGTTCTTAAATGAAAATAACTATACTTTAGGTAGATTATATATTAATCAGCTTTTATGAATCATTCTGGAAACCTAATCTTATTCCTGCTATTTCTGTGGGAAGGGAATTCTGATTTTCACATAAGAGAAACAAATCCCCTTTAAAGATTGAGGGCTGCTTGCACCCGTGTTTTAAAAATCTCTGTAGGATGTTTTCTAACTAATACAGATGTATGTCATAGGGTACTTGTTCATTTCATTGAAATTTCATAGCATTTTCAAGCCTTAAGAAATATTGAAACTTTGAATGAAAATATATGTATAAAGTATTCCTCAGTTCATAAGGGTAGCCCTTCATCTGTATATTAAAACATACTTCAGTTCATCTAAGATGAATGAAGTGACATTAATCAGCATTTCTTACTGTGTGACAAGTCTTCATTTTTCCCAAGTTCGGAAACTTTCAAATGTTTCCATAATGCAAGATTTACTTCTGTGTAAATAGAAATTTTCTTTCCACTGTTTCAGGCCGGAGCCTCAACAGAAAGCTCCTTTAGTTCCTCCTCCTCCACCTCCTCCACCACCACCACCACCACTACCAGACCCCACTCCCCCAGAGCCAGAGGAGGAGATCCTGGGATCAGACGATGAGGAACAGGAGGACCCTGCGGATTACTGTAAAGGTGATATGGCGGGCATGGTGGCATGAGTGTGTTTTCCTCACTGGGCTACACAGTAGTTGGGTTGCAGACTGGGTGAGGGGACTTAGTCATGTACATTACTTGGTCTTTATTAAATTAGTCTGCCTGTTCATTGACTATAGAATGGTATTAGGAAATATACAATATGAGAGAAATTTGTAAGAAAATATGTGTATACTTGCTTTTGAAAGCATTTAATCTGGTACAATTAAAAATAAAAGACAAAAACCATCTAAGAAGAGCATAGGGAGTAGAATGTACCAGGCTCCTACAGGCAGCTAATTATAACTCTTGTTTTCTGGCTGTTAGCCTACAGGGAACCATTGCCTTCTCTGTGTAGCATTGAATTACATAGTATTCATTGTCTGTGGAATGAAAGCATGCACATTTGTCTACAGAGAGCGAGAGAGAGAGAGATTTTCCTGGCATTGTACTAAATGAAATTTTGCTGTTGTATGGTTTGGTGAATTTTATTTTCAGTATGATTTCACAGAATGCATAGGTGTTTTTATATTGAAGCTTTGTTAAGACCAAAACTACAGAAAGTTCTAAAGGTGGTGAAAATACAGAGCAATATGATCTAGATATTATATTTTGTATAGACTGGATTCTGAGAATCTAGGAGAAAAGGTAGTTGCTCTGTCCATCAGCTGCCTGTTTCTTGGCTTACTCATTTGGATTTTAATTCCCTGGAATTCTGAGCTTCTGTACAGTTGAAGAGATAGTTTATTTGCCTCAGAGTTTTAAAAATTGTCAGTCAGATTCCATATAGCGTAATAGTAGATAATGTACACATGAAGAGACCATAAAACATTAAGAAATCTTTGGGCCTGTAGTTTCTTTGTAATTTATCTAGTGGATGCAGGTCATTTATATGTTAGTTTAGAACAGTGTACTTGAGTTATCTCTTAAGGGGAAGAGAAAGTTACAAAAGTATGAGAACTAAACTTGTACTCTAATTCTCCTGTAGATACAGGTGCCTACCTGGAAGAATGAGTTTTCTCCTTAGAAAACAAAGTGTGCATCTTAACCTTTATTTTATAAGTAGTGGATATGACTGCAGAGCGGTTTATGCTGTTCAATAAAAGATAGCAAGACAGTTTGGAAAGGGAAAAGTGAGTGTTCCCCATCTTCTCTTTCAATCTGTATTTCTTGGCTCGGAAATTAAGTTGTTACATGAGGAGATGCAGCCTTCTGCTTTTGGGTTTTGCTGCTTAGAGGAAAGCATTAGTTTGATCTGTAGGAACCATTCTTCAGGAGCTATTCTCTTCAGTATAATCTCTGCTGCTCTCCATCAGGCTCTCAAGATGAGGGTCAGAAGTAGCCGTTACTACTTTCATTTCCTTACCTTCTCTGGGGGCCAGCACATACCATCCCCAAGTATAAGGCTAAGAATAAAGAATTCCCCAGGCAAAGTTCTAGGTACTTTTCCCTGAACTACCAACATTTTAATAGTATTAAAGTCTGTCTCAGTGGGGCTTGGTAGAGAAGGTTTTTGCCCTCCATTTATGCTCACATATGCTTATACATTTGTGCTCACTCATTCTCTTCTCTCTCATCCTTAGATTTTGCAAATATTCTGTGCCTCTGGTTAGCACTACATATACCAATTGCCATACTCTCTGAATTTTGTGGTATAGACCAGCATAGTTGTCTAAGATAACTGACATAAGTGTGTCCAAGGAGTCTGTGTTAATCATATTTCTGTTGTGCTGACAGAAATACAAGAAACAGTACGTTAAAAGAAGGAAAAGGTTTGTTTTGGCTCAGAGTTTCCATTTTCACACTGTGACTGCTTGACCCTGCTTTGGGACCATGACAAGACTGTACATCATGGATCTGTGGTGGAAAAGCTACACACCTCATGGTGTCTGGGAGGCAAAGAGAAAGAAGAGGAAGCTGGGGTCTTGGTATTCCCTTAAGGGCATGCTCCTAATGCCCTTACTCCATCCACCCGGCCTACCCTCCTAAAAGTTCTACCACCTCCCAGTAACACCAGAGGCTGGCAGCCAAGCCTTTCACACATTGTCCTGTAGTGGGCATTTAAGAGCCAAACCAGAAAAGAGTCTAAGGATTTGAGTGGGAATGTCTGCAATAAAAATGTGGCTTGCAGGCCAGGTATTTAGCTCAGTGATGCCGTGGCCTGCCTCAGAAGCTCATGGTCCCAAGTTCAATCCCTGATACCAAAACAAAACAACAACAACAAACAAAAACTGTGGCTTTCACATTTTTTTAATGGATAAAAGAGAGCTTTTTTCACCAGAATTTGTTGGGTTTAAGTACGGTAATGACAAATAATGTTTTATTATCTCTGAATACTTTAGTATATTTGCCTGCAATTACATACTTCAGTAAACCACAATGCAGCCATCCAGATCAGGAAGTCAATGAAGATGTGTTAGTACCACTTAACCCTCAGCCTCCATTCAGAATTTGCCAGTTTGCCATTTTATGAGCGTGTGGTAGAATCATATACTCCATTTTGTTTTCTTGCCTCTTTTAATCTTCTGATTTGGAAGAGTTCTTCAGTATTTTCTTGACTTTCCTTTCTTGACATGAAGATTGTATGCCAGTTGTTTGTGTACTATTTCTCAGTCAGAGTACCTGGGGACGCAATGCCGTGTTCTGCTCTGCTCTGCTCCTGTATCCTTTTCAGGTGGTTTGAGATTTCCACTTAGTCCATTAGAGGCAATGTCAATTAACGTGATGCCTTTACAGTTACTCTTTCTCCCTACCAATTAATAAGTGTTCTGTTGAGGGAATTATTTTGAGACTACACAAACATCTCGGCTAATACACCACCCCTCCCCCACCCTACCTAGCTGTCTATCTCACCCTCACTTCACTCATCATAGATTTCTGTTTTATGCAGTGATTATACTCCTTACTTGCTCTCTTTATTTATTTTGATGCTTGGATTTACCCTAATCTGTCCTTTAGGAGACCCTTTAGTTTGATTCTGAGCTCTTTTGAAATGTCCCATTCTTCAAACACTTCTTTACTTCAAGTACAATAAGATGTTCTTGGTTAATCTTATATTTCTCTACTTCAGCTCTGCAGTCAAAGTATGTCACAGGACCCTGGTTCCTGTTAGCGAAGAATAGTATTTAGAAAGGAAGGTCTGGGCATTAGGTATGTTTATTACTACTGTAGTAGGGTCTTTTTTTTTCATGAAGTTTATTGGTACTTATTAGGTATACAGTACAGTGACATTCGTCATTGGGATTTTATACCTTTGCATGATGTATCTTGGTGTATTAGGGTCATTGTAATTATCTCAATAGTAGTAATTACTCCTTTTGCTTCCAGATCTTAGTACCGAGCTAGGGATACTCTTCCTTTATATTTATTTTTCTATTCATCTTTGAATATATGGAAATCATGACTTTAATCTGATATCTCTCATTTCACTGTAACACCAGAGAATTCAGCCCAGTTTTCTCTTTCTACTTTTTTGTAGGGTTGTTTTTTTTCTTCCTCTGAATATAAAAGACCAGGCTCTCATTATTGCATTATGTTTACTTAGCTGATTAATTTCTTCTAGTGCCTGATGAGCCACCAGTTGCATTCACCACCATTTCTGTCCTCTTACTCTTCCTTCCTTACCTAGCTTGTGCTCTGGCATCCTTTGTTGCCTGGCCCCGCCTAATAGCTGTTGGACTAGTTTAGGAAGCAGGATAAGGAGGGTCAGCCTTCCCAGGCTGGGAGAATGTTTTGCTTAGACTGGACATCTTGTCTTCTGTCACTCTGCTGTTCTCTTGTTTTCTTTTCCCTTACTAGTGGAGAACCTCTGCCCTGCTAGCCACTTCTCATTTC